ATACTAACAGAACATCTACAAAGCTCTGAGGTGGTCTGTTCCACACTGGACACCCTCACAGTCAGAATGGTAAAGTCCTGTCCACAAACTATTTAACAAACGACTGAGAATGAGGAGGAGGAGCAACTCCCTAACAACGTCCTGGAGGTTACCATTGACTAGAAACTGAGCCACCTAAATACTGTGGCCACAAGAGCAGGTCAGAGGCTGGGAATCCTGCAATGAGTAACTCATCTCCTGACTCCCCACTGTCTGTCCACTATCTATGATGAGTGTGATGCAGTAAACCCACTTGTCTGGGTATACTCCAACAACACTTCAAGAAGGCCACATCATCCAGGACAAAGTAGGCCTTTGACTGGTAGCCTATCCACCTCCTCTAACATTCACTCCCTGTATCACAGACTGGTAGCAGTCTGTACCATCTGCAAGATGCCAGATAGCAACTCACCCAGGCTCCTTCAACAACATCTTCAAAACCTGCAAACTCAATGCAAGGGCAGCTGATACACGGGGACATCACCATCTACAAGTTCCCCTTTAAGCCACACACCATCCTGCTGTGGGACTGTATCACTGTTCCTTCACTGTCAAGAGTAAACATCCTGGAATTGCCTTCCTGCGATTATCCCCACATCATGTGAACTGCAACAGTTCAAAAAACTGCTCATCACCTCCTCCTCAAGAGTAATTAGAGATGGGCTATAAATGTTGGCCTAGCCAGTGTTGATGTCATTATCCTGTTGTTGTCAGCTCTTTTCTGTCTGTGTTATTCATCAGTAGCTCATTTCAGTGTGTTATCAGTTACCATGAACCCAATACTCCATTCACTACGTGTACCTTACCTTCCTTCTTTTACTGATGATCACAGCACTCGCTTGGTTACAAGAATAAATGCAACTGTTAAACAAACATTCTAAACCAAATTTAAGTGAAATGCCACATTACACAGAGAAGTCAACTAAATTGCCTATGCATTCTCTCAGTATCTATTAGTCTTCACGCAATGTCCTAGCCCAGTGACTGCAGCATGGCTGATGGAATGTGCTGACCCCCAATGAGGGAGACTGCAGATGAACGTGCAGGGCAGTCTTGAGCTGCTCTGGGCCAACACTGGAGTGTGTGTGCATACGTGCGTGCATTGGCAGACTAACAAGCTGGCAGAGTGAACGGTTGTTTACCTGAATGAGGACTGCAGCCACTGACTCCATGGAAACACTGCTCGACCCAATTGGGAATTCGAGCAGTTCGGTGGAGGGCACGTTGCTGGATTGATGTGAGGCACTGCAGCAGTTCCAGGTGCCAGATCACCACCTCAAGGGCAACTAAGGGCAGGCAATAAATTGCCAGCCTCGCCCTGTGAATGAATAAATAAACAAATACCCTGCAGCACACAGCTACATTGGCAGCAGGCACAGCAGCAGTCTGAGCTTCCATTGCAGCACTGGCTGTCTCTATTGTTGGCAATGCCCTGCATTCTGTGCCAAGTTGATCTTGAACTCGTTCGTTAACCACAGGATCTCTGGCAGACTTCCCAAAGTGCCAGGTATCTTCCTGTGAGTTCCCATCAGCATTCTTCTAATCCAAGAACTTCTGCACTGGAACTTGAACACAACCGCACCCTCTAGTAGTGCTATCCTTTCCCTTCCTCCTGGCTTAAGCCCAACTGTGCATGATGTCTCCGCCTCATTCAGATCCTGTCTCTAAGCTTTCCTCTGTAGATGTAACAGTGTAAGCATCCAAGTCACTGCCTGTGAGTATAAAAGCAAGTGAAGTGTCTTCAGTATCAATTTCTTCATGATTCTTCCCATCGTCCCGCTCAGGTTGTAGCTCTTGGGTGTCTGAAAGGAAAACCACGCAAGTGTACGGGTTGTGACATGAGGAGGGGAGGACAGAAAGAAAGAGAATTGCAGGCTTACATCATCTGAAGCTGTTAAATCACAAGAGTGTGAGAGAGGGAAGTGTAATATATGGAACAGGATTAGACATACCTCAAGTCTTCACTTGGTTCAGTCCTATTGCAGGTCACAGCCACAGCAATGGGCACCTTAATAAATAGCAATGTGGCAGTGAGTGTTGTGCTGATAGGGTTGAATAACTAATGGTTTGGAATGTGGATTTGAAGTTTATAGCAGCACCTACTGTGTGAGGATCAGAAAGAACTTTTAACTATTAGGTCTGAGCATTGATTGATACAAGTTGTTTGTTGAGTGATGGGTTTGGAGTGGAGACAACTGGTTGGATATACTGCATTTGAAGATGCATTTACTGAGGCTGACCACTTATCTAAGGGGATTAAGCTCCTTACAGCACCACAGCCAGATCCATTGCCTGAATTGTAATCAAGGGGCACAAGTTATCCTGCAACATCATCTCTGTGCCCATTTTCAGAGGCAAAAGAATTTAGCCCCACCTTGTAAACATTTAACACATTTTACACACTCAAGAGTCATACAGCATGGAAACCCTTTGGTCCAACTAGTCCTCGCCGACTGCATTTGGCTCATATCCCTCCAAACCTTTCCTATTCATGTATTTATCCAAATGTGTCTTAAATGTTGTACCTGTACCCACATCCACCACTTCCTCTGGCAGTTCATTCCACACAAGAGCCACTCTGTGTAAAAATGTTTACCCTCATGTCTTTTTTAAATTTTTCTCCTCTCACCTTAAAAATATGGCCCCTAGTTTTGAACTCCCCCACCCTAGGGAAAAGACCTTATCTATGCCCTCATGATTTTATAAACTCCTATAAGGTCATTCTCCTACGCTCCAGTGAAACGAGACCCGGCCTATCCAGCCTCTCGTTATACCTCAAACCCTCCAATCGGGTTACTCCATAGAGTTTCTCAGGCAATTAAATATATTTTGGTGTAGCCACTGACCTAAGGTAAAAAAAGATGACAACCAATCTGTGCACAATAAAAGCTTCTGTTAAAAACAAATTTCATGGTGACCAGATTATCTGTTTTTTAAAAAATTATGCTATTTGAGTGATTAATGTTGGCCAGTGCACAGGAGAAATTTTCCCTGCTCTTCTTTGAAAGTTGTCATGGGATCATTTACAGTTAGGTGCAGGGTAAGGCGGGGGAGGCTGCCTCGGGCCCCTGTTTAATGTTTGCTCTGAAAGGTGACAACTCTGACCTTTGCAGTGCTCTGGCAGTCCTGCACTGGAATGTCAGCCTTGATTCTGTGCTCTGGCCTGTGGAGCACGATTGAACCCACAATCTTCTGACTCAGAGGTGCAATGAATACTTAATCATGTGTCATTGGTTTTACTGGATAATTTCTAGTTCTAGGAACTAAAGTTTAACTGCAGAAAGTGGGATAGATGTGATTAAAGCAGCTTGAAGCTACGTGTACTAATAAGGTTGAGGTCATGTTGTTTTAAGAGATTAACAGCTAGGACGATAATTGCTAGGCTTTAGCATATTGCCGGATTGCGTAAAATAAATGGTAGTTCATAAGGTTAACTGTTTGTTTAGTAGAATCAGATTAGAGGAGACAGATATAAAACAGGGCTTTGTTGAACTAGAAAAGTGTGGTTCTGAGAGATGCTTGTTTGGGAGCAAAGACTTAGAATCCCTTCCAAAAGAGAGAGAATTTTAATAATGCAGAGAACGCAGCCTGATATCAGATTCAAAATGTTAATTCCGTCTCTGTCTCTACACAGATGCTGCCAGACCTGCTGAGTTTCTCCAGCATTCTCTGTGTTTGTTTCAGATTTCCATCTGTAGTATTTTGCTTTTATTCAAGAGTTTTAATCACATTTGACAACCCTGAGTGGCACTAACATCACAAGGTCTGTCCTGACTGCACTGACCATTTAAAATGTAGTCTGAGAGGTGTTTGTTCACAGTTTTGTCTATTAACTCTTATTTACCCCATATTAATCCTGATTGTTAGATTCTAAGACACAAAAATGGGATAACGTTTCGGGTCCGGTGACCCTTCCTCAGGACTGGTTCTAAGGAAGGGTCACTGGATCCGAAACATTAACTCTGATTTTTTCTTCACAGATGCTGCCAGACCTGCTGAGCTTTTCCAGCAACTTCTGTTTTCGTTCCTGATTTACAGCATCTGCAGTTCTTTCGGTTTTTATGTGGTGATTTGTTCTAGTTTTCTACCCTTGTACAGCAAAATCCGTTTGTTCAAAACTGGGGAATCCAGTGGCTTCACTTGATTTGAAAGTACCTGGAATTTCAATCATTGCTCCTACTTTAAACAAAAACAAAATTGCAATTCTGTTGAGGATATGAAAAAAGAGACAATATCATCTGAGATCATATCAAGAATGCCACCTCAGATCCGAAATGGAATCAGGCAGTTTTAATTTGAATATTCAAATGTCAAATTAGTTGCAGCTCGTGCAACACTAAAACATGGTGCAAGATTGATAAGGAGTGGAATAGAAATGGAAGGAACCAGGCGATAGGATAGAGGCAACAGAAGAAGGGGCAAGATGTTGAGGCTAACATGATACAAAAAAAGAGGATTAAGCACAAGGTAAGAGATAGTAAGAACTGCCGATGCTGGAGTCAGAGATAATACAATGTGGAGCTGGAGGAGCACAGCAGGCCAGGCAGCATCAAAGGAGCAGGAAAGTTGACATTTTGGGTCAGGAACCTTCTTCAGAAATCTGAAGATGAAGAAGGGTCCCGACCCAAAACGTCAACTTTCCTGCTCCTCTGGTGCTGCCTGGCCTGCTGTGCGCCTCCAGCTCCATACTGTTATCTTAAGCACAAGTAAATTATTTTAGTCAGAGAATGATAAGCTGCTATGTGTCAGAATGGTGTTGTGGAACAGTCGGGAGAAACATGTTATTTTGGTTTCTGGCAATGCTGTTCAGTCTGATGTTGACAGTATCATGTAGGTCTGAAACGTTCAAATAGCACAAGAATAAAACTTACCCAAGCATTTTAATATTGCACCGTAATCAAGTTTAGTTGCACTTTTTACAGATAGGAACGATTCATTGATTAATTGAAAACAAGAACAACTTGACTTTATATACCATCTTTAATGTCGTAAAATGTTTTAGTATGTATTATAAAACAGAAGATACATATTACAAGATGTTAGAACAAATGACCAAAAAGTAGTCAAAATGTTTTCAGCAGCATCTTAAAAGTTTACAGCAATGTTCCCAAATGTTGTTCCCATTCAGATACCGCAAGTGTGAGATCCAACAAAATAATTTTCAATGCATTCAAATATATAGGTCTTTTGTGCAATTAAAATCTTTACAGAGGGCATTGGTTGAGAGGTGATGAAATTGAAGGGAGGAAATTCACAGCTTAGGATCTTGGTATCTAAAACACACCAGCAACGGAACATAATTAAAATTGGGGATGTGCAAAAGGCCAGAATTGGAAGGTTATAGGGGTGGAGAAAGTTACAGAGTTGAGGAGGGGTGAGGCCATTGACGGATGAGAAAATAAAGATGAACATTTTAAACTCCAGGTGTTGGTGCATCAGGAGTTAACATAGGTCAGCGAGTATGTGGAAGGGCAGAATTTGGTGTGAGAGAGCAAATTACTGCAGATGCTGGAATCTGTACTGAAAAATAAATAATGCTGGGAATCACAGCAGATCAGGCAGCATCTATGGAGAGACAGCAAGCTAGCGTTTTGAGTCTAGATAACACTTATCAGAGCTGATGAAAATTCATCCAGACTCAAAACATTAGCTTGCTGTCTCTCCATGGATTCTGCCTGACCTGCTGTGATCTCCAGCATTTGGTGTGAGTTAGGAATTGGACAGTAGACGTCTGAAAACATTAGATCTGGATGTAACAAAGGCACGGATGAGGGTTTCAACAACAGGTGAACTGAGTCTTTGGCAAAGGTATGGAGATAGAGAAAGGTGGTCTTGAGCTCAACCAGGGATCAAATCTGACACCAAGGTTGCAAAGGGTCTGGTTAAACCTCAGGCAGTTACCAGGGAGAGGAATGAGGTCAACAGGTTGAGAACAGAGTCTATGACAGGACAAAAGTTAATGGCTTCAGTATTCCCGATATGTAGTTGGAGATATATGTGTACATGCACCACTGTTGGTTGTCAAATAAGCAATGTGACAAATCAGGGACAGAGAATCCGAAAGAGAAGTGGCAATGTGGTAAAGCTAGGTGTGATCATTGTAAAGGTCAGTGTAAAACAATCTTATGTGACCCAGTCAGTTCTTCCAGCACTTTATCTTTGTCACCCACACAGACTTGCGCCACTGAACATGTTGAGGTATCTAATAACATCTTTGTTTCTACTAATTTCCAGGTAGCTTCAGTTGATAATACAAGCTTTGAACAGTGCTTTAATTTCAGATTACCCAACCAAGCAGACATCAGCTCATTTCTGACCCTCAACATCTGCACAACTTAATTAAGCAACCAAGAAAGTATAAGAGAATGTGGAATGATGACCACAATTATTCATATTTCAAGTCGTAGTCACATAAGAGTAAAAACAATTGGCATATTGTTTTGAACAAATTGCACTCGAATTCTGTTCTTCCAAATGTTCTCTCTCCCTTGGCAAGTTCACCTACTCTGTTTATTCTCATTTAATGAATAGTAGGCCAAGATAGCTTGTCATCACATTTCTCTCTCCCTCACTGTTGAAGAAAATCCTTGCCACTGTATTCTTACCTTCGGCCAGTAGCCTGGCTAATATAAGGCTAGACAGAAGGTGTAACAGTAACAGTAAAGATGGGGCTCTCCACAATGTCGATCCCACTTGGTGAGGTACTTGGAAGATCAGCATTTCTCTTCCACTCATACCTTACTTGCTATTGTACATGTGCTAGCCTGCCCGATTAACAGTCAAAACTCTCAAAATCATTTCCCAATAGTGCAAATCAGGTTCAAACATACAGCAGTTCTAAGACTCAAACTCAAGACTAGTTTAGCCGGAGGTACATCCTTCAGACATCTTGACCCATCAACTGTCAATTCTTAATCAGCATGTTTACCAAGTATAAATTAAGCCATTTCACAACCCTCAATTGCTCTGTTACCCTAGCTGTATTAATGTTGGTGCATTGGCATTGCCAGTGCAGATTGAAATGCACACTGTGCCTATATTAAGACAAGATGCATTTTATGATACTTTGCAAACAGAAAATAATGTTCCCACCTGTGCTAACAGTAATAATTACAGCACAGGTACAATCAGAAAATAATTAATGACTGTTAAAACAACCAGAAGGTGCAAAGTATAAAAAAGCAAAATTTTTAACACCAGTATTTAGTACATACATAGTTGTAGGCTTTCAAGTCTTTCACACTGAATTTGATGCCAATGATATAACTTACCATGAAACAATACACACTTTTCTACTATCACCTTGGCTTGAACCAGCACTTGGAAAATTTTGCATTTCTATTATCTGACAATTGGCAATCTAAAAATTAAAAAAAAAAGGCATCTTTGGCATTGAGTGGTGATTCCATGATGGTGGCATGAACTCTACATTTTGCAAAGGTCGGCGCCAGCTAAGGACCTAGTTCATGACCACAGAACAGGAATCTTCAAAGTCTTTTCTAACAGATGGACTCGGATCATAACTCTGTTGGAGCCCAGGAGAATTGAACGGTACCTTGGCAGCATATTGGTAATCACCTTTATGATCACAAGTATGTGTATGTCCAGGATTATGGGCAGGATCGTGACTGTCACCATGCCCAGGTGTGCATCCAAGATCATGGCTGTGCCCATGCCCAGGTGTGCATCCAAAATCATGACTGTGCCCATGCCCAGGTGTGTGTCCAAGATCGTGGCTGTGCCCATACGCAGGTGTGTGTCCAACATTGTGGTTGTGTCCATGTCCAGATGTGGAGCCAAGATTATAGTTCTGTCCATATCCAGCATCATATTTAAGTCTAGGAACATATTCAAGACCATAACTAGGATTTTGTTGCTGCTCAGGTCCAGACCAATATATCTTCGAATATTGGTTGCACTGGGAGTCAGTGGCTGGAGGAAAGTAATAGGTTTGTGTGGGATAGGACCCTGGTTTAGGATTGCACCTATAATAAAGAGAAAAAAGTTATTGCAATGCTGAACTGTCATATGTATTTTTATCCTGTAGGTGTGTTGTCTTCACATATGCAAGCCAACATCAATTCAAGCTTTAGACTGTGAAGTTGTGAAGAAAAAAATAACATGAATCACAACACCCAGGATCAATGCCAATACATAAAAAATACATTTTTTCTTTGTAGGAAACTTGATGCTGATGAAACGCTCTGCATTCCAATTGTACCAACTATCCCATATATGGATTGGTGCGCTGGAACCTTTGGCAAATCCTAGCCCAGTGAAAATATATACAGGCAAGTATATTCTAAATGCTGTGTTTTATAAACACTGAAATTAATTGCTGGAGCAGTGGAAGGCTTATGACAAATAGTCAGAAATCACATGAAGGAAAAGCACACAACCACTTCCAAATAATGAATGCACTCGAATTAATTCTTTCAGATATTTTGCAGATTCCTTCAGTAAAACCCAATTGTGACTTCCCAAGATAAAATGATTGCAAGATTAGCCCCTGTACTAGAGCAACTGGAATTAGATAGGCACTTTCTTGCACACCCGTACCCACACCAGCCATTCTGGATGACAGACAGGTTTTCTGATCCAGGGATGTATGTACCGACTTAGGCTTGAGATATAACTTACAGGCACAATAGCAAAGTATTACCCCAGCCCTTGCCTTATTCCTCTCCTGCCTGGTGGAATGCAGCCATTCTCACAATATCAGCCAGACCAACGGATGCTTGACATCCATCCAGAATTGTGGAAACACCCAACAGGGGTTATCCCATTCCCAGAGATGTGATTAGCCTGGTCCCCATCCCATCAAGTCTCTCTCTGAAGAATCCAATCGAGCGACAGTGACCCACCTACCAATAGACAGTCAATACCACCAGCATCTAAATCATTTGGACTACCTGCAGATATCTCCATGACCAATATATGATGTGTCAATGTGTAAATGTACATTGCTCCAAGCAGACAGCCCTGTCATAACAACTCAAATGTCACACCCTTTCCCTTTCCTAAGATATACTAATGATCTGGATCTTGGTGTGCTGGGGACAATTTCCAAATTTGCAGATGACACTAAATCTGGAAGAATTGTGAACTGTGATGAGGTCAGTGTGGAACTCCAAAAACATTGACAAGTTGGTGGAGTGGGCAGATACTTGGCAGATGAGGTTCAATGCAGAAAGCCAAACTGATGCACTTTAGTTGAAGAACATTGGAAGACAGTATAAAATAGGTGATGCAGGAGCAGAAGAGCCTGGGTGTATATGTGGTCAGATCATTGAAGTTGGCAGGACAGGTGGAGAGAGCAGTTAATAAGGCGCACAGTGTTTTTGGCTTTATTATTGGGCATAAAGTACAAGAGAAATGAAGTGATGTTGACTTTGTACAAGACACTTGTAAGACTTCAGCTGGGGTACTGTGTACAGTTCTGGGTGCCACATTATAGGAAGGATGTATCGGAGAAAGTGCAGAAGCCATTTACCATAATGGTTCCAGGAATGAAGAACTTCCGTGGTGAGGATAGAGTAAAGAAGTCAGGACTGTTCTCCATGGAGAGAAGAGGATGAGAGAAGATCTGATTGAGGTGTTCAAAATCATTAGTGGCCAGTCAGAGTAGATACAGTAAAGCTGCTTCTGCTTGTAAAAGAAATAACAATGTGAGGACATAGATGTAATGTGCAATGGAGCAAGGGTGATGTGAGAAACATCTTTTTCACACAGTGAGTTGTTACGCCATTGAATGCACTGCCTGGAAATTTGGTCAAGGCATGTCCAGTTGAGGCATTCAAGAGGGCAAAAGGATGATCATTTGGTTAAAAGGAACGTGCAAGGATATGGGCAGGAGATTAGTCCTAAGTAATAGTGCCAGACTAGATAGTAGAGTCAGGGCAAGCATGAGGGATGAATGGTCTCCTTCTGCACTGTAATGATTCTGTAATTCTGTGTTTGCTAAACATAAACCCCATTGATAAAGAAGAACAGAAAAGAGCTCTTGTGGAGGAACAAAACCTTGGGATGATTACCCAAAGGCTGATTGAGAGAGTCAGTAGATGTGGCATTTGAAACTTGGAACATGCCAGCACCAGTCAGCTGATCTCAGGAAAGTCAGTAAGGAGCAGCTTTCTTTGGTCACTGAGTTTGAGTTTGATTTATTGTTGTCACATGTACCGAGATATAGTAGAAAGTGTTGTTTTGCGTGCTATACAGGCAGATCGTACCATACAAGTGCATCAGGGTAGCAGAACAGTGTGCAGAATACAGTGTTACAGCTGCAGGGAAGGTGCAGAGATAGAGAGATCAGAATTAAGATTTGAGAGGTCCATTCAAAAGCAGATAACAGAAGAAGCTGTTCTTGGATCATATGTGTATTCAAATTTTTATATCTTCTGCCCAATGGAACAGTATAACTGGGGTGGGTGTGGTCTTTGATTATGTTGGTTGCTTTCCTGAGGCAGCAGGAAGTGTAGATGGAGATAATGGATGGAAGGCTGGTTTGCCTGATGGACTGGGCTGTGTTCACGACCCTCTGTAGTATCTTGCAGTCTTGGGAAGAGTAGTTGCCAAACCACACTATGATGCATCTGGATTGGATGCTTTCTATGGTGCATCTATAAAAACATAAGAGTCCTTGCTGACTTTCCTTAGCGTCCTGAGGAAGTAGAGATGTTGTTGTGCTTTCTTGATTGTCGCTTCAATGTGGGTGGACCAGGACAGATTGTTGGTGATCATCACTCCCAGGAACATGACACTCTCGACTATTTCCACTTCAGCACCATTGATACGTGCCCTCCACTCCACTGCCTGAAGTCAGTGGCCAGCTCCTTCAATTTGCTGACGTTGGTGGAGAGATCGTTGCCTTTACACAATGCTGCTAAGCACTCAATCTCTTTCATCGTTTTTTGAGATCTGACTGTGGTATCGTCAGCAAACTTGTAAATAGAATTGGGGTTCAATTTGGCCACACAGTCGTGAGTGTATAAGGAGTACAGTAGGAGCTGAGTATGCAGCCTTGTGGGGCACTGGTGTTGAGGATTATGATTGGGGGAGATGTTATCGCCTATTCTTTCTGATTGCAGTCTATGGGTCAGGAAGTCGAAGATCCAGTTACAAAGGGGGAGCTGAGACCTAGATCTCGGAGTTTAGAAATGAGGTTGGTTGGAATTATGGTGTTGAAGCAAAGCTGCAGTCAGTAAGTAGGAGTCTGATGTAGGTATCCTTGTTATCCAGATGTTCCAGGGATGAGTGTAGGGCCAGGAACATGACATCTGCTGTGGACCTGTTGCCTGGTAGATGAATTGCAAAGCATCAAGGCAGTTTGATCAGCTGGAGTTGATGTGAGCCATGACGAACCTCTCGAAGCTCTTCATAATTCTGGAGGTCAGAGCCACTAGGCGGTAGTCATTAAGGCATGCTGCATGATATTTCTTTGGCACTGTGATTATGGTTGTTTTTTTGAAGCAGCTGGGGACTTCAGATTGTAGTAAGGAGAGGTTAAAGATGTCTGTGAATACTCCCTCCAGCTGGTCCGCACAGGATTTGAGTGAACGGCCAGGGACTCCATCCAGGCCAGTCACTTTCCGTGGTTTCACTCTCAAGAAATCCAATCTAACCTCTGCAGTGCTGACTGTGGGTACAGGTGCATCTAAGGCTGTTGGGATAGGTGAAATCATTTCACCGACCTTCTGTTCCAACCAGGCGTAGAATGCATTGAGCTCATTGGGTAAGGATGTATTGTTACTCGTGATTCTGTTCAACTTTGCTTTGTAATCCGTAGCGTGGTGTAAGCCTTGGCACAACTGATGAGTGTCTGTGTGGTCAGGGAGGAGACAACTGGGTAGGCTCTTTTGATCACTGGTGATACATACTGGAAGTAAATGTGTAGACCATAGAAGAGGGTGTGAATCTAGAACGTATGTGGGTTCTCACTCTCTGACAGCCTTCAAGAGGGAGCAGGATCTGCTGTAGGTGAGGGGTACAGGTCACATCATAAAGAAGGGAGATGGATAAACAGTGTTTGCATGTGATATTCTGGACTTGTCCCAAGAGCAAATTCCACAATGCATTTATCCCTCGCTGGCCCTGGGATTTTGCTTTTCCCAGGATGTGGTTGTGGTATTCAGGACTATAACGTTTCCAGCCATGAAACTCTAGCCTCCATGAGAGTGGATCACTTGTTATGGACCAGCATGCCTTTTCCTACTCATTATGTTGTGCGCAGCAAACAGTTGAACAGCCCATTGATACACACTGTCAATGTGGAAAACAGTATGTTGGCAAGTAGCCCAAGTATACCCTGTGCCTAGTGGACTCTTACGGTGCTGTGGTAGTGCCCCTACCTCTGAGCCAGCTGCTCCAGAGGTGTGTAATGACATCTCTGAACAGGTTGCTTAGAAAATATTGAACCTGTACCTGTGGAACAGGAAGTCAACACCTTCAGACCAGGAAATGACAAAAATGAGTGCACTTTATTTACAAATTTTAGAACAGCATTTTTCTTAACAGATGTTTTAGAATGTCAGTTAGAACCTTAAACACATTTACTTGCTTAGGTTCATCAATTTTTCATATCATAATAATGTTAATTTTTGGAATAAGAATAAAATGGTAGCCCTGCCATTAAGTTTAGTAGCCTGAACTCCCCTCCTTGCCTCAGCAGAATGAACTTCAACTTCAAAAGGCTGGAAAAACTATCTAAAACCAAAACATGTGGGTTAGGCAGCATCCATGGAGAGAGACCAAGCTAGTGTTTTGAATCTAGATGATTCTTCATCAGAGCTCTGATGCTGCCTGACCCGCTGTGATTTCCACCATTTTTTTGTTTACAGTACAGATTCCAGTATCTGCAATGATTTGTTCCTACACCTTGAAGAAACAATTGGTGGGCAAAAAAATCAGCTGCAGCCACAATACTACAGTTGCGTCATGCTAAATCTCACAAGCTAAACAGAGGGAACCCAACAGAGAACCTTAATTT